GTCCCCATCCATGGCCGCGGCTCTGACTCGGCAGACCACCACTGAAGCCTCGGTGGGCTCCCAACCCAGGGCCCCCAGGACCTCCGGGCCTCCCGCTGCACTGGCATCATCCGTCATTTGGTGTTTTCTCGGAGCAGCAGCAGCACAGCTAGTGGATTCTAACCTCATCTGTTTGTATTGGCAGCGAGTGCAACTCCTCACTGGACTATCAGAGCTCCCTTCTTGTCATCTCCCCCTTCTTTAGCACAAATAACTACAACGATAAAATTTGCTACTTAGTAAGGACCTATGAACGAGCACTGTCCCAAGCATCTTGCACTTGGTGGTTGTTGTTGCGAACTGTCTAGTTGGAACCGATCTATAGCTGACTCTCCAAGTGGATTTTCAAATGGAGTAAATTGCACGGGGCGGGGTGTGTGTGTGTTGGGAGACTGTCCATCTTTCTCTCGCAGAGCAACTGGCAGGATTTGAGCTGCAAATCTGCATTGGCAGCATATGAGCCAATGGTCATGAAGGAAGAAGTTCAAGCTGCACTGAAGGCACTAGCAAAGGATGAGGCCCCAGAAATCTATGGGATACCAAGTGACGTGTTTCAAATGACAGATGCAGCCCTGGATGTGCTCACCAGTCTGTGCTAGGAAATTTGGAGGAGCCCAGTTGCCCGGCCAACTGACTAGAAGAGATTGCTTGTTCCTATTCCCAAGATAGGTGATCCAAGAAAATGTGGAAACTATTGAACAATATCATGAGTATTACATGCAAGCACAATATTGCTAAAGATCATTAAAAAACAGTTAAAAGAGTATATAGACAGGGAAGTGCCAGACGTTCAAGTTGGGTTTAGAAGAGGCTATGACATCCTAGCTGAAAGCTAAGAATAATGGAGTAATGTCTATTTATGCTTTATTGACTATGCGAAGACATTTGGCCATATGTATCATAACAAGTTATTGATAATATTGTGAAGAATAGGAATCCTAGAGCACTTAATTGTGCTCACTGGAAACTTATACCTAAGATCAAGAGGCTGTTATATGAACAGATCAAGGGAACACGTTAGGGTTTAAAATTAGGAAAGGTGTGTGCCAGGGCTGTATCCTTTCTCCATACCTATTTAATATGTATGCTGAGCAGATTATTCAAGAAGGTGAACTCTATAAAGAAGAACATGGCATCAGGATTGGGGGAAGACTCATCAATAACTTCCATTATGTGGATGACACAACCTTGCTTGCTGAAAGTAGAGAGGACTTAAAGCTCTTGTTGCAGGAAGTTAAACACTGTAACCTGCAATATGGATTGCATCTCAACGTCAAGAAAGCAAAAATTGGGTGCTTTGCAGGGGCCGCCGCCTCAGCAGCACACTTGTCAGCTCAGCTTGCCTTCAGCCATGGTCAGTTCCATCGTGTACTTCAACATTGCCGTAGATGGCAAACCTTAAGGCTGCGTCTCCTTCTAGCTAGTTTCCAGATAAAAAGGATTTGGTTACAAGAGTTCCAGCTTGCACAGAATCATGCCTGGGTTTATGTGCCAGGGTGGAGACTTCACACGCCGTAATGGTACTGGTGGCAAGTCCATCTACGGGGAGAAGTTTGATGATGAGAACTTCATCCTAAAACATTCAGGTCCTAACATCCTGTCCGTGGCATATACTGGACCCAAAACAAATGGTTCCCAGTTTTTTATCTGTGCTGCTAAAGACTTGGTTGGATGGCAAGCATGTAGTCTTCGGCAAGGTGAAAGAAGGCATAAAGATTGTGGAGACCTTCAGGTCGAGGCATGGCAAGATCAGCAGAAGATATTGCTGACTGTGGACAACTCTAATGTGATGTATAGTTCATGTTTTCTCTTAATCACCAGACCATTCCTTCTATAGCTCCAGAGATCACCCTGCTACCCCTAGTGTGCATGTGGTATCATTTAATCTTTGTGCTCCTGCTATAGTACATTGGGTTCCAAGTTCTCTTTCTTCCCCTCCAAGTTTAACAGCACTGAAGAGGTAAGTTTATGACTATGGAATAACAACCAGAGAAGAAGAAGGAGGAGGAGAAGGAGGAGGAGGAGGAGAACAACAACAAAGCAAAAATCCTCACCCCTAGACAGACAGGCAACACATGATAAACACAGAAAAGATTGAGACTGTCAATGACTTCATCTTAGATCCACAATCAACACACTTGATACCAGCAGTCAGGAGATCAGGAGACATATTGCACTAGGAAAGTCTGTAGTGAGGGTCCTCTCCAAATGACTGAATAACAGTGATGCCAGTTTGAGGAGGACGGCGTACCTGATTCAGGCCATATTCTTTTCAGTCACTTGCTATGCGTCTGCGAGCTGGACAATGAATAAAGATGGCAGAAGAATTGATGTTTTTCAACTGTGGTGTTAGAGTACTGAATATCTTATGGACTGCCAGAAGAACAAACAGCTATGCCATGGAGAAGGTGAAGCCAGAGTGCTCCTTTGAGGCAAAGATGAGAAAGCTTTGTTTCACATACTTGGAACATGTTGTTGGGAGAAGCTATTCCTTGGATAGGAAGACCATTCTTGGAAAGGTGGAGGGACAGTGAAGGAGAGGAAGATCCTCAACCAGAAAGACTGACACAGTGACCACAGCAATGGGCTTTAGCATGTCAGAAAGTGTGAGGACAAAAGAGGATAGGTCAGGGTTCAGGTTTGTTGTCATGACTCATACTAGACTAGACAGCACCTAAGAACAACAAGGAGCCACCAAAGCTCCCTTACACTTGGTATTCTTTCTCAAATCACTGCAATAATCTTACCGAGAGAAGCTTTCATTTACATTGTTACTGTTAAGTGCCACTGAGTCAGTTCCCAGCTCATAGTGATAGTATACACAACAGACTAAAATCCTACCTGATCCCGTCCCGTCCTCACAATGTCTACTGTTCTTCAGCTCACTGTTGCAGGCACCGTGTCAACCCATCTCATTGAGAGTCTCTCTCTTTCACTTACTTTCTACTTGTCCGAGCACACTAGCCTTCTCTGTGGACAGGACTTTTATACCATGCCCAAAATATGTGAGATGAATTCTCACTATCCTTGTTTTATGACATTTCTTCCATGATAGGTTTTTTCTTTTAGTTGTTATTATGTGCCGTCAAGTCGCTTGCGACTCATAGCGACCCTATGTACAACAGCCCTAAATTCTGCTCTGTCATGTGCCAATCGCACTGTCTCTGACACTCCCATCCAATAACCCTGTCACTGAATCAATCCACCTCATAGAGGGCCTTCCCCTCCTGCGCTGTCCCTCCACCCTCCCAAGAATGATGTCCTCCTCCAAGGACCGGTCTCTCCTCACAACATGCCCAAAGTATGTTAGATGGAGCCTCAGAATCCTTGCCTCCAAGGAGTGACCCGGTTTAACCCTTTCCAGGATGAATCTGTTTGTTTTCTTGGCAGTCCAGGGTACATTCAATACTCTTCTCCAGTACCACAGCTCAAAGGCATCAATTCTCCTTCTATCCTCCTTGGTCATTGTCCAACTCTCTGATGCATAACAAGTGATTGCGAAGACCATGGCCTGTATCAGATGCACCTTAGTCTCCAGAGAGACACAACTGCTTTTCAGTACTTTGGAGAGGTCCCTAACAGCAGACTTTCCCATGGTAATGTGTCTTTTAATTTCCTGGCTATTGGTGCCAAGAGTGTTGACTGTGGGGCCAAGGAAACTAAAGCTGTGTACAATCTCAATCTCTTCACCATCCACCCTGATGCTGTCAATTGGTCCAGTGGTGAGAATCTTTGTCTTCTTGACAGTGAGCCTCAATCCATATTGGAGGCTGCAGTCCTTGACACTCTGCAGCAGGCGCTTCAGGTCCTCCTCAGTTTCAGCAAGCAGGGTTGTGGCATCTGCATAACGCAGATTGTTGATAAATCGTCCACCAATCTTGACCCCACATTTCTCCTCATAGAGCACAGCCTCCCAGATAATCTGTTCTGCATACAGGTTGAAAAGGTATGGAGATAGGATGCATCCCTGGCATACGTCCTTCCCAATTTTGAACCATGCAATGTTTCCTTGCTCTGTTTTGACGGCTGCCTCCTGGTCCAAGTATAGGTTTCACATTAGCACGATCAAGTGTTCTGAGATTCCCATTCTTCTCAGAGTCAACCATAGTTTGTTATGATCCACACAGTCAAACACCTTTGCACAATCAATGAAACACAGATAGACATTCCTCTGGTCCATGGTATATTCAATATTCTTTGCCAACACAATTTAAATTAAGGCTCAAGGAAACTATTTTGTCTAAAGTTATATAAAGACAATTCAGTCTATTCCAGATGTTCTGGAATGCTATTCAGGCTCCTGAAAACACATTTCTAGTATTTACTGACTTATTGCTAATAATTAAAAAAATTTATATTTTATATTGGTTTGCATACAAAGTTTGCTAATAATTTTTGAGTGCTATGCTGTTCTCTCTTCTATGTCCTTGGAAACTCTGGTGGTTTAATAGGTAAGGAGTTAGTTACACAAACTGCTAGCCCAAAAGCAGGTGGTTTGAATCCACCAGCTGCTCCACAGGAGAAAGATGGGCAAACTCCTCCTGTATGATTTTCAGCTTTGGAAGCCTGCTGATTGGTCAGTTATGAGGCAATTCCAATTTGACAGGAATGAGATTTTTAAAAAATTCTCTTTCAGAATTAAATGATGATTTTTCTTCCTTAGTTTGTTGAACAGAAATCAAAGTAGAAAAACTTCTATATGACAAGGTTTAATTTTTATTTGTATTAAATTACAGAGTACCATCAGTAAGTATAAGAGTATAATTTCAATTTTATAATAGAACTTAAAATTTGGCAAATTAATTACCCAGAATTTAGTATATGATTTAGTGCACACTGAAGATATTGTTTGGCATAACTTGGCAAGATATAGTTTTGTACTTTTACCTAACCATTTATTTTATTTTTATGTTGTGTGTGTGTGTATATATACACACACATACATACAGACACAGAGACAAATACACTGCTAAATTAAGCATACTTGTATAAAAAGCCAAAGTTTGATATTATGATTAATTCCTTTTTTAAAAATCTATTACATTATTAAATTGCATCTGCATTCAAGGCAGAAAGGTAAAAAAATTAATAATTTCCTAAATACACATGAATTTACAAAGTAATTGAAAAGGAAATAAAAATTTCTATTGCAATTTTATATTACCATTTGATTGACATTTATGGGACACTATCAACCTGTGGAAATAAACATCATTTTTTAAAAGTGATTCAAAGAATAAAGATTCTACTAAGAATTATTGTACCCTCTAAGTTAAGAATGAGTATTATTATGTAGTAGGAAAAGGTGGCAGGAAACTCTCTTTATCAATACAGGAATTCTGAGGGAGCAGTCACAGCAGTGTCTGTGCTCCTGGTCTTGGGGTCCCTGCACTCCCATCAGTGGAAGGCTGGCTTCTCAGGAAAGGTGCAGCCAGCCCGTCTAATGATGACACTGGCTGCGTAGTGGCCAGCACGGATGCATTCAGTCAGAGGTTTGTCTGAGACCAACTGTGACAGAAAACCTGTGAGACAAAGAAAAGACAAGTATATGAACAATGTACCACAGCACCGGCAACAATAAACTGGGTCAGAACAAAGTATAGTCTAAGCACTTCTTCCATCCTTCTGTCTCAACCAAAACCCCAAACTTACTACTGCTGCAGTGATTCTTACTCAAGTGACCCTTTGGCTGCTGTCTGAGGTTGTAAATCTTTAAAGGAAGAGACTGTTGTCTTTCTCCCATGGAGTGGCTGTTGGATTTGAACTGCTGGCCTCTTAGTCAGCAGTCTGACATGTTTTGCACTATGCTACCAAGAGTCCATTCTATCTAGATGGTGGGAGATAGTTCTCTAGAGTTAAAGAGATTCCTCTCCTAAACAATAGGAGTTTCTGCAAGCACTTCTTCTAAAGAGGCCAATCTGGTACACAGCAACTAGTCAAGAAGTCAGTCTTGACATTGTAAGCATGAACTATGATGCCTTCTCTTTATTTTGGGATAAAAAAAGTTGTGGGTGACAATGAAAATGATCAGAAGTATTGACCTTGGACCTATACAACTGTGAAGTTACTGAATTGCTCTTTTTTCCCCCCCTATGAATTCTCGTTTATTATTGTTATCTCTAACATACTGCTATTTGGACTAAATTCTATCATCTGGATATCTCTTCAAACATGATTTTAGAAGACCAAAAGTTATGAAGCACCTTTCATCTCCCTCTTATACCGAAAAGTTGTTGTTGTTATGCACCACTGAGTCACCTGCAACTCACAGAGACCCTATGTATAACAGCCCTAAACCCTGCTCCATCCTGTACCAATCTTATTGTCTCTGATACGCCTACCCCTATTACCACAGTCACTGAATCAAACCATCTCATTGAGGGTCTTCCTCTCTTGTGCTGTCCCTCCAAACTCCCAAGCACAATGTCCCTCTCCAAGGACTGATGCCACCTTGCAACATGTCCAAAGTATGTCAGACGAAGCTTCAGAATCCTTGCCTCCAAGGAGCACCACAGTTCAAAGACATCAATTCTCCTTCTGTCATCCCTAGTCATTGTCCAGTTTTCTGACGAATAGCACATAATTGCAAAGGCACACCTTAGACTGACATCGTTGCTCTTAAGGACTTTGGAGAAGTCTCTGACAGCAGATCGTTGATGAGTCTACCTCCAATCCTAATGCCACACTTCTCCTCATAGAGCCCAGCCTCCCGAATAATCTGTTCTGCATATAGAATGAAAAGATATGTCTTAATTTATGTTAAAATTTTACATATCTTGGTGTTTTTCTTTTTTCGAGGATCTATTCTATTTGAGAGTCACTTGAATGCATACTTTCTAATAATGTTTCGGAAGAGTTCAAGGACTTCTTCTGTGGTTTTTAATACATATATTAACACTGCCATTAATTTGGAGGATTGGGTAATGGGGGAAATTTATGACCCCAGAAGTCCATGAGAACAAGAGTGAATATTATTTGAATGTACAAGAATGTACCTTACTTGTCACCAGCTGGTACAGTCACTGCCACTGTGGTATTTACAATTCTTTCTGAGGTCATTCCTCAGTTCTTTCTTTTTAATCTTGGTAGTCCAGAATTATACTTGTTTTCTAATATGGCTTTGGCATAGAGGGTCTGAACTGGTGTCTTTCTATTCTGCTATTTTATCTAGAAGTCCTTTAATTTGAACTTATGTACAAACAATTGATGGCCTTTCCCACATTTGACTGTTGGTCTTATACTGATGATGAGTTATTTTATGATCTCTTCCACAGATTTAAGTTGATTATATTCTTGAGCTTTGCATGTGGTGAAGTCCATGTATATGGTCACCATTAATGTTGTTAAAAAAGGTATCTGCAGTGAGTAATAGTTACTGTTGTTAGATGGTGTCCATTTGACTACAACTCACAGTGACCCAATTAACAAAAGGTCTGAACTCTGTACCACCCTCACAACTACTGAGGCCAACTGTTTGAGTCCGCTGTTGTAGCTACTGGGTCAATCCATCTTGTGGAGGGTTTCCTTCATTTTTATTGGCCTTATCAAACAGGAAGTCTTTTCCTGGGAAGTGGTCTTATGTGTTCAAAGTAAGCAAGACAAAGTTGCACCATCCTCATGTATAAGGAGCATTCAGGCTGCACTTCTCCATGATTCATTTGTTACTTTTCCCAGCAGTCAATATTTTCAATACCTGAATTTGTAGTCACCAATTCTTCTTCTTTTCTTTAACTGTTTCATTTTCACATACATACAAGGCAACTGAAAAGCTCAGGGCTGGGACAGGCATGGCTTGGTCTTTGCTTTGCTTGCCTTTTAACCCTAGAAAGGGGTCTTTTGCAGCAGATTTTCCTAATGCAACACAATACTTAACTTATTCACTGTTGATCCCATGGACTTTGATGTTGACTCAAATAGAATGAAGTCCTGGGCAGCATCAGTTTTGGTTTTGTTTTTTTTTCCCATTTATCATGATGTGTATTTGATCCAGTTGTGAGAATTTTCATCTTCTTTAAGATTCATATTGAAAGTGATAGTCTTTGAATATGACTAGTAAGTATTCTAAGTCATCTTCATTTTTGCAAGCAAGGTTGTGACATCTGTATATTGCAGGCTGTTAATGAGTTCCTCCAGATCTGATGGTAGTTTCCCAAGAAAAATGAAAACATATATCTACATAAAGATGTCTAAATGAAAGTTAGAGAAGCTTTGTTTGTAATAGCCTCAAACTGAAACAATTCAAAGTGGCAAAGTGGGTGAGGAGAGGAAAATGGGATTACAAAAGGGCAGGGGTATAATGGATATGTTAATTTTCTTGGTAGTAATGGTATATATATAAATAAACATTGTAGATTTTTTTAAAACATTGTAGATTTTAATTATATGTATCTTACTGTATGTAATTTATACCTCAATAAAACTGTAAAATAAGAGAGGAAAACAAAGTATTAAAGTTATAAATAAGGATTCAAGAATATGTGCAAATCAATTAAAAGCAAAGTTCAAGAACTGAAGAATCTGAGGCTACTTGCCCACTCAGGGAAATCTAAACTGCTACAGTGTTGTGTGCAGTCAAGTCAGAACCCACTCAGAGCTGATCCTCCAATGGGTTTTCAGAGGCAGTAAACAGCACAGGTTAGAAGCAATAGTGGCATCCACTTACTAAACGCTCTATGAACTTTTATAGATGTCAATAGTTGTAGAGAGGCCTCTGGCCTTTGTTCATAGGGTCGCTATGAGTCATGCTCAACTCGAAGGCAATCAACAGCAGCAAATAGCACAGGAGGAGAATGCCATCCTGACAGCTGGTGGATTTGAACTGTGTGCCTTTGGGATTGCAGTGCATACAGCAGCACTCAAATATTTATAAAAATAAATGATACTGGAAAACTTTTGTATTCTGACTTCAAGGCTCCCTCAGCCCTGGGCAGTCTGAGGGGGTGGGGTTAATTGAGAAGCTGTGATATAATGACCTGTAGAGACCATTATCAGAGATTTATGACCAGTTCCTTCTACCATCCTCACCTCACAGGCCTTTTTTCCTTGTCAGAGTTAAGGAATACCCTATAACAAAGAAAAGAAATATTCCCAACCAAAGAATAAAATTAATTTGGTTAATGGAGTGAGTGATATATTTTGAAGACATTTGCTTAGACTGTGAAATCACTGCCTCAAGAGGTTTAGTAAGAGTATTTTATCACTAAATTTTCAGGTAACTGTCAAAGGTCAGTATCAACTTTCTGCCAAACTGTGAGACTGAAATTGCTCAGCCCACATGGTGAATAGAGTACATGCCAAATTCAGAGTCAGCTCAGCTTACAATGGAAACCCGTCTATTAGAAACATTATAAGAAACATCTGTTTTCCTCATGGCTTCTGGTATAATCTCATGGAAAAAAGGGAAAGCTTATGTTTATGAAATATTTTCGTGAAGTTTAAGTATCAGCATCCTCTTTGTAAGACAAGAGCTAAATGATGAATGAAGTGAGGTGCTCTGAAGAGTCGTTTGCTTTGACAAGTGGAAATCCTGAATGTTGAAAAAGCAAAGACCTTTGCCCGAGGTGAGGATAAGTTTTTCTACACTTTAAGAAAACAACTAAGATGAACTAGAGATGTTATACAATCAATTAAAAGTAGAATTTTCATAAAGCAAAGTAGCTATGTGAATCTAAACAGTGTAAAATTATTTAACTAAATACAGGGAGCTTATGTTTAAAGAATCTAGGCAATAATTTTATAGTATAAACACCCCAGTATAATTTGTAATTTAAATTTTCAATTATTAACCTGTATAAAGTACATTTTGTTTTTAAAAACAACCAACAACAACAAAAACCCATCCAAAGCCAAACCTCAAATTTTTTATTTCAAGGTAATCTGAAACTCTGAGAAAAGTTGAAAGGTTAAAAATAGTATAAGAAGCACCTGTGTATTTCCCTATTTGCACTTACTAATGTACTGCTCAATCTGTGTATATTGTTTCTCTTTATACAGTTCCTCCCAGAAACTATCTTTGAAAGCAAGTTGCATTTGTTCTGGTCCTTCACCTCTCACATAACCACAGTCCAGTTACCAACAGCAGTAACAATGATAGGGGATTGTTATCCAGTTCTCTAGGAAGCTCTGATGGCCTAGCCCATATGGAGTTGTGTTGCTAACGAAAGGGTCACGTCTCTCTGTTCAAATCCCCCTGTGACTCCTCAAGAGAAAGATGAGCAATCTCCTGCAGCAGATGATCACCTTGGAAAAACCTGCTGGAGGGTCAGTTATGAGTCGGTTCTCACCCAAGGGCAATGATAAATCATTAGTCTGTTTATCAATTTCATCAACGGTTCCATAATACCCATTTTCCAATCTGGGATGGACTCTATTCTAGTTATCATCACTATTTAGTCTTTGTATATAATCAACATCATTGGCTTGTTTTCCTGGTTTCTTTGTGTAAAGGTAGACAGACATGTATACATTTTCTTTTCTTAAACAAAGGAGGTACTTATTAAAAACTAGTGAGTTGGGACAGATT